GCGGGGTGGGGGGCCGTCTGCGCTAACCGCTCTCTGCTCTCTCCTGCGCAGCCATCATCGGGGCGGTGGCTGTGTACCTGGTGGTGGGCTGCGGCGCGTCCCTGCTCTGCAACATCATCGGCTTCGGCTACCCCGCCTACGTCTCGTGAGTGTCGCGACATTTGCCCCTCTTACCACGATGATTGCATGTGTTACCCGAGGTCGGAAAGTCACAGCCCTGCGCTGGTGGACGTCTGTTACAGTGGTATTAGAGGACCAGGCTCCAAAATGTTTTTCCCGCCCATTCCTTTCTCGTAGCATGAAAAGGTGTAAGGTGCAACGTAGAGGGGGAGGTTTCTTCCATCTGGCATATGCTGTGTAATAAATTACAAGCGGGAGATGCTGGGTAATTTCCAGACTTGCAAACCAGTTCCCCTAGCGCATTACGTTTCAGCTTGGGGTTCCCAGCTTTGTCGTCTCTGTGACAAGTTGGGTCGCTGTGTCTTACCTGCTGCTAGTAACAGGAGGGAGAATTGCTGTTGTAGTGCTGTTTGCTGAAACAAACACAGATATTTTCAGTTGAGGATGCTCCCAGATATGCAGGGAAGGCACTGGTGCAGTGTCAATGTATGTTTAATATGAAGCACAAGGTAATGCACTTTTATTCCAAAAGCACCTATCAGATGAGAAGGTGGAAAGGAAGACTCTGTAGCTCCTTTTGGATGTAAAAGACTTCAGGTATTATTTTTTTTTCAAAGGGAAGCCTCCTCAGATGTTATTTTTTTAAGAATATCTGTTAGCTTTCACGGGTGTTGTATTGTTCTTAGACCAAAATGGATTTCCTGTTAAGTAAGACCAAGGTGGAGTATGTTCCAAAGACTTTGAGAAATGTATTAGATAAAACCTTCTGTATAGCCTAATAGGTTCGTGAAATGTAAGTCTTTTCCAAATATCCTGCTGTATTATTGAAACACAGTGTTTGCCTTTTATGTAACTGTTTAAATACAGTCAGCAACTTTAAAAAATATATTCCCTGTAGTTAACTCCTGGACAATACAAAATAGTCTCCTTCTCTTTTGTTTTTCGGAGATGTGAGAGATTGACCAGTTTTAGGCTCTTTTGAAACATCTTATGGTTGTGGTGGTTAAAAAACTAAGTAATAATTTTCTAAATGCTGTTTCTGGTAGGCGTTAATTTAGGAAATCATAGGCCAAGAAGTCTGGAGAAACTTAGGTTTTGTTTTCTATAAGGCAATTTTCAGTTAGAAGATGTTTTTTCATTAAAATCTGAAAGTGAAAATATCAGCCAACAAAGCTTCAAAACCTTAAAATAGTTGTGTAGGAATTATGTTTATGTAATATTTTGTGTCTGAGTTAGGTCACTTATAAACTTACATAATTACTTTATAAAATGAAATTTTACTTTTAATACATTTTAATAATTATTTTTAATGAAATTTAATTTTTTAAATTTTGTTTTAAAACTGGTTTGGGATTATGTTTCAAATCTGCTCTTACGCAACTATGGTGAATAAACTGATAATAAAAGCTCTTAGACATGTGGAGGCAAGGCAGTAGCAAATCAAATAACAGGCTTTTCTCTTCCAATTCTTTTCTTCAAAATCTGGAAAATTAATTTTTAAAATATCTTTTTTGTAGAGTGTCCACCCTTTTCATTTGGGAGGTGGTTTTAAATGTATCCTAATGTGAAAAATTACCTCCTGTATGCTAATAGCATGGGGTGTTGTTTTGGTTTTTTTTTTTTTTGAAGTAATGATTGTATATGCCATTGTCCTTGGCTATAATTTTTACTTAAAAGAAAAATTAATAACATGCACATTAATACAATGCCGTTTTTTCCAGGTCGTGCTCAGTTAGTGCTTTCCTGTCAGCTGTCTTTTAATGCTGAACATTTTTAGGAGAAAATTATAATCTTCAGTGAAAATTTTATATAAAACACATGTAGCATGCTGACAGCCCAAGTGGGCTCGATCCCCTCCCTTTACCTTCCTTCCGAAATACAGAGCTGGGACATAGCATTTTCCTGCATGCGTTGCTCTGCTCCCAAGCCTGCAGAGCCAGCAGACCAGCATGGGTGCAGAGGAGACGTGGGAGGGCATGTGCTAGTGCAAACGTTTTCATGGTCCCATTCAGTTTCCCCTTTTTTGAGAGTGAGATGTGCGAACTCAGGATAGGCAGTATTGCCTTTGCTAGCCTGTGCAGCATTATGGGCTTGGTGTGACAGCAACACACCGGCACATCTGTGCTGTTTCCTGAGATGGTTGTCAGTCTGGAGTCAAGCGTGGGCTGCCTGACTGTGAAAAAGAGCAAGAGTCCTCTTTGATGGTGACCCTGCTTCCACCATATGGGATTCTTTTTGTCTTGGTGCTACCATGGCACTCTCCATATGTACTATAGTGTCTCTATCCTAATGTAGGACTAGGCTGTGAGAAGATAAAGCTGAATTACTGGAGTCATTCATGCTTTCATTTTGCTGCTCTGGATTCTGTACTGCAGTCAAGGTGCTGCTGAGTGCTGTCCCCCGTGCTCATAAAACGTAAAGAACAGTAGCCAGGGTGCTTTGTTTATTCCCCTCTTCTATATGGCCTGCACCCCTTGAAAAGACAGCTGAAGAGCCTGCTATATGAACTAACAGTACTGAGGTTTGCTTCTTGGCATTGTGCAGAAAACAGTTTTCAGCTATTTTCTTCTGCTGCAAACACCCTCAGATGGCTTTTGCTGTAAAAGCTGTGGTTTCTGAAAGAAAGAGGTCAGGAGCTGTAAACAAAATGTGGACGGTGCTAGTTTGATGTTTATGCAGGTGTTTCATCAATGGATCCAAGCCTGAAACGTCTCAGAAGGGCACTGAAAGAGAAAAAGCAGATTGCTTTTCTCCAGTTTACTTACTTTCTTCTGTTGCAAAGCAGATCACTATGTGTCATTTCAGCATTGTCATTGACTGAATTTTTAAAATGAAAAACAATTCTGTGTTGTCATTGACTGAAAAACAACTAAGTACTTGATCAGGCTTCTATTCAACAGGAAAGACATTTGTGAAGGAGTGGGACAGATGTAAGTTCCGTAAGGGAGAGCACTTCCTGTCCTTACAGTTGTTTAAAATGGCAAACAGGCTACTTGGTGAGTGACCCATTATGCATGTTCCAGATCTGTTTTATTAGGGTTTTAGTTTTGGGTTACCTTGGTCACGGTAGTTACTGTTCATCTCTGTGCTTGCCTGCAAGAAAATACATTGAAAAAAACAAACCCAGAGAAGGATGCTCAGCTCAGATTTCAGTCTGTTCACACATGAAAACAGGACAGTTTTATGCCTGTCAGGTCTTGTATAACTCTGTAGCTTATTTTCTTTTGTTTACATCATTCCCTATGTTCATTGTCAATGTGTGCTGTGCAGCAGGTGTGAATTTCAGTGGAGAAGTGCTGGAGGCTGTAGCCACTGGGTTAGACCTAGCAGGTGGGGTGTGCCTGGCTGTTGGTAGAGCTGCATCTGCGGTGCTGCCTGCTGTTACATCACTGCAGTGCCAGCTCTGGCCAAGGCTCAAAGCCAGCGGGGAAGGGAGGGTGCAGCTCCCAGGTTAATGCCTGTTACAGTTTCAGGCAGGCTCAGCTGTTTCCATTCTCCTTCCCTCTTCTTCATATTCGCCTTCAGCTTTGCTTTGTGTAAGTCTGCAGTGGTTTTTATACGTGGAGGAGTTTCTTCTCCAGTGATACAAATTCTTCCCCAAAATCCAAGTTGTTTATGCCCAGTTGCCAGCAAGGGCACACCTGAGGCTCTTAACAGAGGCAAAATTAAGCAGTAGTTTTCCAAGTAAATGTTACCTGGCTGTTTCCCAGTATATTAGACAATCTGGATTAATGTTTGTCATAAAACCCTAGTCTTGCTCCCTACAATTCTGTTAAGTGCTATGTGATGAAATAGAATAGTTAAGTTGAAATCTTAATATTTGTTTGCAGGCTTTTGAGTTTGCAGTAGACCAGCATCGAAAAGTTTACCACAGATTATAGAAGCAAATTTTTATACTTTCTGTGAGCTTTAACTGCACAAAGCAATATTCAGACTAGTAGATGGAAGAAGTGAGTGTTAGCAATATAAAAATAACACTGCCAGTATTTTCACTGCTTTTCTAAACTTTCCAGAGCTAGCCTGTTTAAATGTTGCTCCACCCATAGCCAGTGGTGGTGAACTGCGTCAAAAAAAATTATGCAAGCAGGAAGGGAGCCTTTGACTAAGAAATGCATGCAAAAGATTGGAAATTTCAGAAGTGCTGTCATGTTTGGTTTGAAATTGGAAAGATGAAAATAGCTTTGGGCAGTATAATGTCTGAACTTATTACTGGTGTCTTCAAGGGAGAAAACAATGCAGTACAATCATGCCTCTTTCTGCTTTGGATAATCTTATGGTGTTACTTCAGTTTATCTGGTTTTGCTATGTAAGTGCCGCTAATGGCATTTTACGAACAGGAAACAATCTAGATTGGTTGTAGGGAAGTATAAACATGCAATTCAAGCCTTAATTTGAATATTGTCGTGGTGTCTTGGGCCTATCTCTTAGTTTTTTGCCTCTTCCATACCTCTAAAACAGGAACTCTGTTTTCCTTGGTCACAGTTGTTTAGAAAATGTAAAATCGTTCCTGTATTTGTCGAGAGCTAGGGCAGCAATTTTGCTTTCTCTTAACAAATTTTGAGGAGAATGCTTACTTTTTTCCTTCATGGAAAACCCTGCATGATATGCTAAAGTTCACAATGAATGCTTTGCTGCTGCTTTATAGAAGTGCTTTGAGAGAGTTGATGTATCTAACCAGATTCACAACACTCAGTATAAATATAAGCAGAAAGTGTTCAAATCTGTCTGCACTTATGCTCTTTCCTTTCCCAGCTGATACTCTTTTCATGGAGCTTCAAGCAATAAAAAGTGTATTTTGACTCTTTTGTGTGTATTCTGACAAATCTGTTCCTCCAAACATACTTGATTTTTGTCTTTTAGGTTTTAGAGTGGCATCTTAAAATAAAATCCGTCTTATCTGTTGGTTGGACAAATGATGTGCTGTCCTTTCGAGAGATAGCAAGTGGTTAAATACAAGAGAGAGTCTGGTATTATGATACCTGTAGGTTGAATTTATCTTCTGTATCTTAAATGAAGGTTAAAAAG